CAAAAATACGAAAAGAAAATTTTAAAGAACAGTGGTCATCCAATAGCAGTACTATCTCATGCTGATCTATCACTTCATACCATACTGCTAAGGATTGTTATTTGTTTGTATCGTATACATAGAAAAAAGGAAGTATGTATTTAATGTTACAATAACTATTATAGATATGAATGCGTTAGTAGTCCAGAATTCCACTACCTTAGTGTGCATCGTTTAGAAGGAAACTGTATGTTGATAGTGACCGAAGTGTGCTGTATAACAACTAGGTAACTTCCTTAATATTTAGGTGCCCCTGCCTTGCTTGAAAGAATTCTCAGTCTTACTGCATTCCTTATATACGTTTTTCTAGTGTTTTTCATCCTTTGCAGGCCATATAGTCTCTTCTCTTATTTAAAGGCAGCTGCCGCATGATTCAAGCCATGTCCCAAAAGTTTAATAGACAAAAAAACGGCAGAAAAATCTATAACAGAAGCTAAGAAGGTTCTTTCCTGTTCTTGGGTTGGATTGGCAGAAAGTACTGACATGTAAGAACGTATTGAGAATAAAGGACTTGTGAAACAGATTGTCAGATGGTACATGTACTGTATTATTTTTTGTTTCGATATATGTTTGGATGTGTGTTTGCATGTGGTTTAGCATGATAACAGGAAAGAAGCGATGGATGGGTGGATTGATTGATTGATTGTTAAGAAATGTGGTGGACCTACCGAAGAAATGATAATTAGATTTTGGACCCCTGGTGGCTTTCCACGGCACTGCAGGAGATCTTGTGTTCGTCATAACTAGCCTACCAAAAATCATGAACGTCTGCTTATCTTTGCAAGAGTTATCCTCTTCACAAACTAACTGACGAACACAAGAGGTCCCCTACAGCAAAAATGGAACACTCCCCACGTCTGATTTTTGGCGACGTCTCAGGGAGGAGCCTAATGGTACAGTATTGTTTGATCTGCAAAAATTCTAGGAATTCTCTAGGAATTTTGTCCACAGGAATGGAATGTCCACAGGCATTTCTCTGATGACCTACATCTATGCTCACATTCCTGGAAACCTTGGGAACAGGGTTGGGAAGACTGCCCCAGATTGCCCTACTTTCTGTGACCTCGGGCTCGTTCACTATACACTCTGGGGAGGAGTGCACTGTATCTTTCTAGACTTAACAGCTTCCTCAAAATCATGAAATGATGGCAGTGCCATGCAAACAATAACCCTAACAGCAACCACCGTCGCCATGGCAATGTATGTTTTCATTGCCAGTCTTGTTGAGCTTGACTTTGGTGTGCCCAGCGGTATCTAGTCTACGAAAAATCATGAACATCCGCTCATCTTTGCAGCAGTTATCCTCTTTACAAATCTATTATCTAAGTTACCAAAGACCGGCCCTGTTATCGTTAAAAGATGGAAGTTTTAATACCCCGTTACGCAGCACTGTTAGTGGGAAAACCGATCCTTCGATGAGTCCTCCAGCTTATAAGATAACCTTTATTGAATGGATGAATGAATGAGGACCTTTATTGCACACATATACCCACTGGGTTAAGTACAGGTCACAACAAAAGGATGGAATACAGATAACGTTTCATATGTACACCGTTAAGTAGCTACAATTAAGTAAATTCGGTTTCTTCTCGTTTCTTAGTAATGGTAAAAGGTAAGAACAGGTTTATTTCAATATAGAAGATTCCTCTAAGCTCATTAGAAATAAAAATTTATCTGTACAGCTTTAATAGATGAACATTTTCGGCAACAAGGCCCCAACAGTCTCGATTATGTGATTTTTAGAGATCGGCCGATATTCGCCGGTCACCGATTCAATTTGATAGGGGAGGAAGTATGCTTAAATAGGTGATTTTTGGAGTTGGTCGACCGTACGACACCGACTGGTCCACCCGCAGAACAGGTTGGCCGGTGTTCGGGACCATGTCCCAAACCATTTCAGAACCATTCCCCGAACCAGCCCCGAATGTTGGCCAACCTACTTCCAACCATCCCCGGAACCACAAGTACTAGCCGAAGACTGTCGAATCAGTCATAACCATTTTCCAACTCTGTCCCGAATGAAAATTGGCAGGGTTCAATGGATATCAAACTGAGAAACACTTTAAACAATATTGGTGTTAAATGCAACTTTAATGCTGTCATCTATTGAAATGGAAGATTATAAAGGAATACATTTTTGAGGTTGAATGATATTTAAGAACAATATTTGTAAGGCAAATAATGGTATAATGATACTAGTCTAATACGTTTTAAAGCTAAGAGAGAAAATGCAAATTATGATAGTAGAATTAAGGCGGTAAGATCACACCGGTGTTCAATCTAAATTAATTACTTAATTGAGGAAATGCAAATTATGGTGCTTCCTTATCAGGTGGTAAGACCACGCTGCAGCAAGATGGCGAGGGTGCTTGGACAGGGAAGAGCTCGGTGGTTAAAATTCGTCTTTTAAGGCGAGCTACGTCCGTTTATGGTGGTGAGTCGCATTTAAGATTGTCCTTTATGTTCTCGTAACTATTTGTGGCGAACTTGTTTCAATGAAATGACGCTAAAACACAGAACGGCGTGAATTATTTGTGCCGGTGTCGATTCCTTGTGTTTAAATCACTCTCCAAGCAGAGGTTTGGGGTTACAATGTATTTTTAGCGTGTTTTTAGGCTTTTTTTTATCGGGGTTTCTCTTTTGCACTGGATTGTATCCCCACCAAATCCAAAATCCAGTGCAAAAGAGAAACCCCGATAAAAAGCCTAAAAACACACTAAAAATAACCCTAAACCCAAACCTCTGCTTGGAGAGTATGTTCAAACCTGCACTTAGTAAAGCCGCCGTTCGTGGGCGCTTTTTTATGTCCGCTTTGAACTAAGGCCATGTTGATTTGATTCTATGGATGACATCCCCTGGGAACCCCAAAACTGATGCGAGCGTGCGAATAAAAAAAAAGTTTTGCAAAAAAAAAGTTGCTTTCATTCTGAAATCTACGTGGTCATGAAGGTTGAACAGATGACACAGAGCAATGTGCAAATAATATTAATCTACACTTCAAATTCATTTCCTTACATTTTCGTTTTGGTATCCTACAACATTGGTATTATTTTCCTTTATTTTTTGTGCAACTTACGGTATATATTTCCTAATTTTGCAACTGTTTTGTATGATTTACAGCATGGTTGAAAACTTTTTTTTATTTTGTAAACGGCCGAAAATTCATGCGCGCGCGGATGTCATCCATATAATCAAATCAACATGGCCTAACATGACTGTACATTAGATACGCTCGTTTTATTACCTTCGCCAAGAAGGTTATGTTTTCGGAGGCGTTCGTGTGTGTGTAAACACAATAACTCTAGAAGGCTTAAATGGATTGTTTTGATATTTGGTAGGTGGGTACCTCGAAATCATTAGATTTTGGGCCCCCTGATGGCTTGATATGTTGCAGCATAACTTCCGGTTTTGATATCTCATGATCTAGAAATACTTGGGGCACGAAATTTGGAAGATAGGTAGGCCTTATGCTGGGGGAGAAGTGACATAAGTTTGGGTCCCCTAGCAGATTGATCTGGAACTGCAGGGACATTTGTTGAAATATACTTTAAGGAGGATAACTCAATAACCGGTTTAGGAATCGTCATGATTACTTGTCATATTAATCAAATGACAATTATGCAAATAAAGATCTAATTTGCATAATTAATTAGTAAAACACGAGTTGTCAAAGAAGGTACCCTGGTCCACATTTAATTTTTATTTTGCATGCAGTTGCATGCCATATCAGTCATACCACAGTGCAAGAAATACAATACAGCTCACTATGCACTTCAGATGGCATGTATTGTGCTCTCAATCTTGTGTTTACAACACAGTCCTGTATGCAATACACTTCACAAGACATGTACTTGCATCGTTAGACATACCAGTACTAGCCTTTCCAACACTGTATTAGGAAGTGTCACACACAATATTTGTGAAAACGGCTTAAACTGACATTCTGTGTCTTCTTCTACTACAAAATGTCCATACAAATATAATTTATTTTGTACAAAATATAGTCCACTTTGACAATGATTCACTCAGAGCCTTCTGATTTCATAAGAATATCCTTTGATAAATATAGGCTCTAGCTCATTGTTATCAATAGAGAAGGTCAATGCTGGATATTCAGCGGCGGCGCCAGCATGAAGTGAAAGCCTTGCGGCAGCGTGAGAAGAAAGTGGCCAGACGTCCCCGCTTCCTGACAGGGCCGACCTGCTGCTGAGTGTCGCCGTTCTCCCGTGTCTCCTCCTCATCTTCTTCACTGCAATCACTGGACTCCTCCTCATCACTAGTGTCCTCATCACTAGAGTCCTCATCACTAGAGTCCTCATCACTAGACTCCTCATCATCACTTGTCTCCTCATGGTCACTGGGTACCGGCTCACTGATCAGGCTCTGCAGAGTGGTCGGTCTGACCATTTGGATCTCTGGACCGATGTCGAAAACGGGATCCACTGAGGTGTTTATGACATCCAACAGTTCTAAGTCCGTCAGGCCATACACCCGCAGGCCGTCAATGGCGCGCAGTCGCCCGACCGGTAGGGTTGCTTGTCTGTCGACTGCCCCAGTGCGGCAGTACAGCCTGTGCAACTCCTCACCACCACTGAACAGCCTCTCCAGGATGTGATCATCCGAAGCCAGGAAGCGGAACCACTCTCCCAGGCTGTCTCTGTACAGCACAAAGCCCTCGTGTCTGGCAGACTCTGGTAAAGGGACGGGAGTGCTGTCAGTGGTCTCGCCTGTGTGGTCTCCATGGTGAAGCCTGGATGGTTTTTGAGTGTCCTCATCACTAGTGTCCTCATCACTAGTGTCCTCATCACTAGACTCCTCATCACTAGTGTCCTCATCACTGGACTCCTCATCACTAGACGACTCCTCATCAGTAGATACCTGGGGTGTACCAGTAACCACACTGGCAGCTGAGGGGGTGGAGGTGGGCTGTTCTGTCAGCTGCTCCAACTCTGCCTTGTCCTTGGTCTTTCGGACAGAAGGTCGGAGGCTGGGAAAGAAAGATGATCATCATTCTTAGATGTGGAGAAAAAATGAGATGATTGAAAAATCATTAGTCCTTTAGCATCATTTAGCATCATTCTACCTAGAATCTTCTATCTAGAAGAAGGTATGAATACATGAGCTGATGCTGTAAGTACCTGATCAGAACCCTGTCAGCATCTGGCAGTGCATGTGTGGGGATCCCGCTGCTGGCACCATGTGACTGACTGGACACCTGGGACTCATGATCAGAGCCTTGGACCAGTTTGCTCACGGTAGCTGATCTGTAGATAAAACATTACAAGGTCAGGTTTTTAGCAACAACATAACTGTGCAGATGGACAGTACTGATGTGTGAACTCAAGGTATCTGCAACTATCAATTGCCACTGTACTGTACTTAAAGCCCATTTTGTGACCGATTACTCGGGTAACAGGTTTCCCACATACATGTGTACTGTGTACAGTGTTCCTTATATACTATAGGTGAATGAGCATAGAAAACAACACAGACTGGCTTCTATCTGTGTAGATGGGATCCCCTCCTCTTTTGTTGTAACTAATCTGAACAATAGTTAAACCCAACTAAACAGTTCTTACTCGCTAAACAAGCTGGCCGCATCACTCTCTTGCCCGGGCTATGTAGGAGAAGGAACACAAAGCAATAAGAACAGAACAAACAAAATGAAGGAAAACAACACAGACAAAGGGTAAACATGCATAAGCCTTAGGATAGTTCCATAAAATGAGCATCAAATAAGAAGTACATGATGTGTATGGTAGGAGAATATGTTAGCAAAGCATGGACTGACGTTATTGATAACTTAGGCCACGCCGACTTAATTTTATGGATGACATCCTCTGAAGACCCCCAAACTAGTGCATGCGGGCGAATAAAAAAAATTCTGACCAAAAATAAAAAAATGCTACTAAATCGCAGTATTTAGCGACGTATACAACAAGCCGGCACATTCTGGCTTTTTGCAGAATTTATGAATTGACACTGTATTGAGTTCTTGAGTCGTGGAGCTTTGGTAGCCTGGGTGCCCGGCTCTGTATTGTCACTAACTACCATGGACAACTCGGGCCTAGAGCCAGGCCAGAGCCTTGGAGGACGTGATCTTTTTTTTGCTACAACAGGCAAAAATCAATGCGCGAGCGGATGTCATCCATAAAATTAAGTTAGTGTGGCCTTACGGTATTGTAAAGAAGAAATTTCAAACACCTCTGGCTGGTGAAGATGAGATAATCCCCCAGCATGGCTTGACAATAACTGACATATCATACGACTTCTGACTGGCCATAAATGTTGTAGAAATGATAACTTACCTTCAACCTCCCCTCATCACTCTCATGGGTCAGTTTTCTACGGGTGGACTGGTCACCACCTCCAGTCTGCAGTGAGTATAAGGACAACAAAACAAAATGAACTCCACATTTATTTAATATATTGTTTATATGTCTATTTAAATATGAGAGACTAGCCTTCCCTGGTCTAGTTAAGCCATCATACTGAATGTTTGTACACTTTCTATTTCCTACCTCGGAATGAAGTTTGATCTGGAAAACATGGCTTTCACCAGTATTATTGTTCAGCGGACAAGGTTGAACAATCTCAGTGTATCAGCTAAGACCACAGCAAGTAAATTTTATGGATGACATCCTCTGCGCAGACTCGAGCGGGCGAAAAACAAGGCGGGCTGACAAAACCAAGGTTCCCACATTCAAATTTTGACTCAATCATTGTACAAAATGGTTTTTATTCAGAGGGAACATCACATATACACAGCCAACATCACATCACTGCGTCAAAGTAAGAAACAAAACATCGGAAATCAGAGCCTTTTCTAGTCTTTCTTCATAGTTATCTGCCATCCACCTTTCTGTATCTTTGCCCATTTTCGACATCAGAAGGCAACAAAATTTCTTGTTTTTTTCCCCAAATCAGGCGAAAATTAATGCACGCGCTGATGTCATCCATAAAAATTACTTGCTGTGGCGTAATGTAGGACTTACCTCTACCTGACTCAAATCGTTCTCGGTCGTCATCTTGCCGTGCGAAGACATAGTCTCGTAGGGGTTTTCTTCGGTAATTCGAAGTGCACTCGCTCTCACACAGAACACCTACAAAGGTCATCAAATAAATCCACAAAAAGCAAGTGATTTTCTGGATTCCACTGGCGATAAGACGTCTACATACGCTAAAACTCTAAAGATCTCAGAAATACCAAGAAAGACTTAACTTTCTTCCAGTAAGTGTAAAATGTCCTTACAGGCGATAACGACCTTGGGAATCTTACGTGACCTTGCGGTAGCCAGATTGTTTAGAACCCTACGAACTTTTTGTGCTTCATTTCGACAGATATTTTGACATTTGTGCGGTCTACCAGCCTTAACGACATGTAAGTAGCACTCGCACGTAACATATGACAAAAATTTGCGACGTTTCTAGGATTTTTCTCGTGATTTTTCACCTAAAACGGGAGAGAGAAAACTTTCCCACCTGGTTCGTGAGCACGAAACTTGTCGAATGTGTAGAATTCGAACCCGTGTCCATGGCAACACGAGTAAACATGGCGTTCGAACGCATGGGAGGAATGATCTTGTGATTTGCGTTGTGAAAATGGAAACATCCGTCAAAAACCGTGTCGTATTGTACACTTTTAGGAAAATATGCTTTCTTCAGGGGTAGAATTTTCAATATAAATATAATTTCATCATTAGAATGGTTCTTTAGAGTGCGATTAAGCGTTTGCTTTCAATTTAATTGTGACGTGTCATGTATCATCATTCCTGTCCACAGTAGCAATCGGGTTGCGGCTGTGATAGAACTTGGTTGTGAGCTGTTGTGTGGTACAAAATGAGCTACAATGCTGGTGTACTTGTACACTTACAAGTGTAGAAAACGCAGCACCAATAGATCTAGAAACTCCCCTTTCTCTATTCTTGGTAGTTTGGTGGTCCTTCTTTGCACCTTCCCCAATTCCCGCTGGTCCAACCGGAAATAAGGCCCCCATACGGCATTTGCATATTCCAGATGAGGTCGAACCAAATTAAGTTTCAAGATCTAACCTTATTTTTGATGGGTTTAGGGTCAGATGAACAGTAACAAAAGACATGCGTCGGCACGTTGGACCCCTCCCGTTATACAGTAATGCCACTGTCCTTGTGTCAAGGTTGTAGAAAGCTCTTAACTACAGTACCCCCCCCCCAAGTATCCGGTTGGCTTTCTTGGATACCTTCTGCCGCAGCTAATATTTACATCCCCAAAGTTGTGGATGCCCCCCTCCCCCATTTGTTAATTATAAGTGTGGACCTCTCCTTGGTGCTGAACTCACCATCAATTCCATGTATTCCATTATTTTTCGTAAAAATGACCTTGTTGTCCATCAAGACCCCCATATTTTTTCCTCCTCTATTTCCTGAAATTTTTTTTACTGTTTCATATGCATTATGTAACGTTATGCGATCTTTTCCCATAATGTTCCGTCAATATGTGTTTGAATGCTGTTGAACTCATCAGACATTTGAATAACATTCTGTGTGTTGTTGGTGAATGTTCTGAGGTATTTTATGTGAGATGTACTTCATGTGATTTTTAATGATTGGTCATGATATTCTATGTTTACCTAATATGTCTACTTTTGATTGAATGTTGATGGCAATTTTGCTCTGTTCATTTTCCCCACTGAGAAATGGCCTTGCCCCGGACCCAAAGCAGCTTTTAGACCTCAAAACAAATGATGTATGATGCTCTGTAAGTAATTGTCATACATATGACATTGCACTAGTATGTGGCCTGTGATTTCTCTGAATGTGTATATCTTTTAACACCCTAGGCTTAAGATGCTGCTACTGTATAGCTGACATTGTGGGACCTGTCTCCTGTGTGTGCTGTGGGACCTGTCAGCTATCCTGTGTTCCTGTCTCAGTATATTCATGGAGGATCTGCCTGTGTTTCTGAGGGACCTGTCACCTATGTTAGCAAGAGAAGAGAACATCGGACTTGACTGTGAGTTGGCTTTTATTCATAAACTCTTTCAAAAATGGGTCTGCATTCCGCAATGCGTAATCAGCCATTTTAGGTCTTCATAATGGAAAGTCGGGTCGATCTATTCACTGTTGAACTGTCATCTGTATGATAAAACGTCCAGCCAGTAGAGTGAACCGTAATACGTGGTCGTTATTTTGCCTCTTGCCATTTCAACTTTGCATAATTTGAATTTGCACAACTAGATTTAATATCAAATGTAATCTACGTGAAACTAAATGTAAATCGCGGTTGCAGCCTTACAAAATATAGCATGCAAAGCGCGATTGGTACGTCCCATGCAGACCCTTAGAAATGACAATGAAAGATGTTGAGAAAGGGCATGTTTGCGATCCTCTGAATTTTTCATTCTAAACGCCATTGTTGAAACTCAGCTAGGCCCTCCCAGATATTTGTTGTCATTTCTGAAAGAGTTCACATTCCTAACTAATATTTAGTTTAAGGTTGTGACTAATCTTTTATTGCGAATATGATGGAGAGCACAGTACATTTTCCTATATTTAGGAGAGCACTTGTAATGATTGCCTGTTGTTTCATTCTGTATAGCAATGGGATATATTTCCAATTACAGCATTTGTGATCGAACTGTTTTCCCTGATATCCTCTTATATACATCATAATCAACATCCACCCTTTTAAAAACCATTTCTATTACCTATGTATTACTTAGTATGATAATGAAAATGTGAAGAAAAGAAAACCTACATGGTGATATGAAATAAGTAACAATAAAAGTAACAATGTTTTGGCAAATAAAAGCATTCAAAATGGAAAAATGAGACATTTCATTACAATCATGAATTCTAGCTGTTAATGTTTACTGGTCAAGATGCACAGTCAAGATTTGGCATTTGTTGATATCTGACAAAATTGTTTCCTCCTTTTAAACATAATACTATGATTTGGAACATATGACAGTACAAATTTAAACTTCAAGGAAAGTCTAGAATATAAAATGTTCAAAACAATGACAAATGATTTGCCCTTTTTAAACTCCTTTCTGAAAAAGAAATTGTTGATTGTGTGAAGAAATGACAATACTAGTATACACGGTGAAGCAATTATCATTAATTTAAAAGAAAAAATAAAGCATTCAAAGATGAATAATGGAATTCTTAAGCACTCAAACACAGTCAAATATGGTTACAAAATACATGTAGGTAACACATTGAAAGAGGCATTTTTGGTATGATCGGAGGAAAAAGAATACATCTTTGATAAATCATAATATTCACAGTCCAGAGTGTTCTAAATCTCTAAAATATATTATGAACCTTGTGATTTTACGCACCTTGCTATATTTTCCCACTGAAATGTGCTTGTATTTATGATTTTGCAAAAAGCACACAAAAAGCATACAAATCTAGACTCTTATTTACCTAATATTCTATATGTTTGTCTCTGGTTGTCAAGTAACAAATTAAATAACAAGCAGGATTATTCATATAAACAAAATACAGTTATTATATATACAGAAATCCATTATAGGTGTTTCACAAACTTGTCTTTTTAAACAATGATAGAGTGGATTTCTGGGAAAGTACTTTGGTCACATAATGATTGTTAGGAATATGTCCTATTTCTTTACAGAAAATGGAAAAGGCAATGCTGTGCTTTCTTTCTGTAGAGTGAAATGTACTACAGGTAAGCTGTGTGTGATGTTTTAAAGGGAGGAATCAGCAAAACAAAATGTCTACTAGTCTTTTTGCAAGGATAATAATTATTCTAAAGTTGCTTTCTATTTTTATTGCAGTCTGAGGTTAAAAATCAATCTTGGTATAACTAAACTGTAGATAAAGTTACAGTTAGAGGTTGATAAAAGTCCAGTGTCCAGCAGGTATGGTCTTGGCAGTGGGGCAGGATTTATTTCAAGGTCCCAATGGTCTCTGCAAAAGATAGATATTAATATGAGGATCATATACTCTCAATTGATTTTCTAAGTTAAAAGAGGTGTGTCTTTTTAGCGAGTGACCACAAATGACCACTCTGGAGCCGTCCTTGTCGCACGACTCTGAATTTATTGCTTTTGTCAACGTCCAGGTTGTGCTCCTATTTATCAATTCTGAGTTTAAAGTGAATTCATTGATCCGAAGTTTTATAAATTTAAGTTGACAGTTTTGACTTCTGTCTTTTAAGCAAATGACCACTTAACGCCCTGCAAAATATTGGCCCTTGTGCAACTGAGCTAAAAATCCTGACCATCACAAAGAATCTAACAAATAGGACTGTCTTCTTAATTCTTGCAAAGTTTCTGTGCTGTACACAATTTTAAACTGTACCATTTTTGCCAAAATATTGTGACGTATATTTTTAAAAAAAAAGTACCTTAAAAGTGTGTATAGCATGGAAACTTTGCAAGAATTCAGGAGACACCTATTTGAACTTTATCACTTGTGGTTGTGGATTTTGGTCCAGTTGTGCAAGGGCCTGAATATATTGCAGGGTGTTAAGAGGACCCATTCACTCAAAAGACGGAAGTGAAACTGTCAACTTTGATTTATAAAACTTTGGATTGATGAATTCATTTCAAACTGAGGAATTAATAAATGGGAGCACAATCTGGACATGGCCACAGCAAAAAAATCTGATTCGTGCGACCCCAGAATGGTCATTTGTGGTCATTCGCTAAAAAGACGCCCCCTCAGTCATTTCATATATAAAACTAAAAGATTATGTAGATACATTGTAGACTGTCAGGGGTTGAGTTGACGCGTTATGTAAAAGTTTTTTGCTGAAAGGGGGCCCGCAAGCCCTTTTCCGTAGAGCGTAATCGGCCGTTTTAATTCCCTGTAATGCATTGTAGCCACTTGGAATTTATCGTAAAGCGTAACCGAGAGGTTTCCGAATTCAGCGTAGAGCGTTGTCAGGACCCCCCTTGCAGGCCCCCCTTAGAATGTAGCGTGTGTTTAAGTTATGGCAGTTCAGGCAGATAGTTTTCAGTGTTAGTCTTAAAATTTGGCCAGGTTTTAATATAGCTGGCCTTGCTTTAAATCCTAGTCTGTTTGCGAATGATGGGGGTAATTTTGTTTTGCTGACTCCTTATCAAAGTTAATTTTCCCACCAAAAAAAACTAATTGGCACCCTCACCTGGTTAATTAATTGGATTAAAGTTTTCCCGCCAAAAAACTTAGTATATGGAGCACTCTAACCTTGAACTTGTGCCCCCCTCCCCACACTTCTACCACCACTACACAGTATGTTAGTTACACTGTTCCAACACTTTAAATTTCTTTGCGCATGTAACTTCTCCGAACACGTAGTCACCACACTCTGCTACCCAAACACTTTGTCGATCGAGTGCAGTTTTTCCGCCACAACGACTTCGGAATCATGCCTTGTTCTCCTGGTCTGTCAATTGCACTGGTATACTGATGTGTCGAAGCATCAATGTCTCCGGAAAGACATCCCACGGGGAGTACACTTAGTGCATTGACCAACCAGGAGAGCGAGAGATTATTGTAAAGTCGTTGTG